GTATATATATGATACATACAGTATACCTGTATGATGATTTTGAAATACTTTTAGTAAAGATAATTGAGAAATAATTGAAGGTCTTCGTTTTTTTAGTCTTCGGTCTTTGTACAGACAGTGGCTGAACTTGATCCGATGGCCCTAACAAACCTTAGGCATACTTTGTAATTTGTGATTCCAACCGGCAATTTAGTAGAAAGAAGCTTTTTACCGGCAGTATGTACGGTAAAATAATGCTTGTAATGTCTCTGCCGGCATCTGCAAAATATACAAATCTCGCTACCAGAAGTTTGGTGATGTCATACTTAACAATAGCCAATCAGAGAAATAGACCAGCAAAATAACTATTTTGGCATATTTTCCGGCGCCGGAATAATATACACTGCCAAAATAACAAGATAGTTAAGGTAGGTCAGATTTTAATTTTCTCATCTGATGCTACCTTCAATTATAAGATTTTTCACCTCATCCCTGTTTTGTACACTGTACTGTAGGCCTGGTAGGCCTAGGCTAAATTCTATGACTTGGAGCATATAGTGCAATAAGAAAATCTTTTTTATATCCTTTTCACAGACAGAGAGAAAGGATGTGGAGGAAGAAACATGAGGGACAAGGCTACCATCAGACGCCTGAATATGTACCGTGGCGGAAAAGCTCAAAGGTGAAGAGGCTGTTTTAAGACTCGAAACAGACAGTTGGTCTAGACCTCAGAGTTTCGCAGACTTTTAGACACAGATGCATAAAGTCTGGAAGAGCTGAACCTTACTTTATGCAACACGTGTTCCATTTCAGTGTTTACCCACCCTGGTTTTATTGTAGTTGTTTTAGATTTTACTTAAATTTACTTAAATTTTTTTATTAATTATTAAGTATTCATTTATATGTTTACTGTAACAATATTATTACAAAACAGCATGTGTTTTCATGTATATTAACATATATGATGATAATTCTAAAGCTAGCTGATTTTTTTATGATTTATCAAGTTGGTGATCCTCCAAAATAGTTTTGGTAACCTACACTACTGTTGGGTCGCAACCCACTGGTTGTGGAAGGTTGGTCTAGATCAGGGGTGGGCATAAAAATAGGTCGGAGGGCCAAAGTGAATTTGTGATTTAACACCGAGAGCCGCACCCAAACTTTGATCTTTCCAGTGCGCTTCTAAAAACCTCCAAGCACTGCTTTTGCACCGCTTTATTCCCAGTTTTAATATTACTTTTTACATATGATGGGTGTCAGGCCATTAAAATCAAGGTGTTTTCTAGCCAGTGTTGCTTGGCGGGCCGCACACATTGAGATTTTATTCCATATTCGCGGGCCGCAAAAAAAATTGCCATCGGGCCGCACTTTGCCCACCTGTGGTCTAGATGTACACGAATACTCTGTACTAGTAAATACAAGAAGCTGCTGTACTTATGTTAGGCTTATCCTTAAAATTTGAGTGGAGCTGTACTTGGTTGTTAAGATATCTTTGCCTTTCCAATCCTATAGTTCTGTCATCCAGTCAGACACATTTTCTTGCACCTGAAATACAAATCCACTCACTAAGCCTTATAAAGAGACTTTAGTTTTACAGAGCACTGTTCCATCCTCTAATTGCCAAGTGTACTTGTTATAACCGTGTCATGAATTATTATTCTTGACTCTTAATTTCTTATGCCACCACCTAATTTTCTTTTATAAATACTTTGGTTTATTCATTTCTACACAACTTCCTTTTATCCTTGATGTACTGTAAAGAGTGCAGCAAAATAGATTTCTATATAAAGACTTCAAAATTAATTTTGTTTTATTCCTTCCAAATACTTCAGCAGGTCATGGTTATAATTTGGCACTACTGTGTAAGCATTTATATATCTATTTTTTTATTTAGGAATCGCCAAGGCAAGATAGTCAAAGCAGCTGCATTCCAATCAGCATTGAAATCTGGCACAGTAGCACGAGTTGAACCCAACAGGAGGTGGTTTGGTAAGTGGGTAATCTGAGCAGCAATATAAGAAATACACTGCAAATTAATCTCAAATGTTAAGATTAAATCAAATCATACCCCCCCCCCCCAACTCTCATACAGTACACTGCCACTCTTGCAGTCAAAAATAGGTTAAGAGTTAATTTAGATTTTATTAGTCCAAGGTGTGAAATACAATGTGGGAATTTGATTTCCATTGGTGTTAAAAACCCGTACAGACAAAACAAACCATAAAAGTATATAAAACACATTACAGAACAGTTGTAAAGTGATGTACAATAAATTTAAAAGCCCATTTATGAACTTGATTTAAAGTCATAATAACTCATTATATTGAAATCGTTGTCATTTGTTTAAAACAATCTTAATATAATAATATTATTAATAATAATAATAATAATAATAAAATAACAATACGTTCATTATTAAAGGCTAATTAAAACTAATTTGAATCCAGAATAAATGGCTCTAAAAATTGAAACTGGCGAACTGTACGACTGTTTAAAATTATTAATTAATTGTATTGCATTTATTACAAATTGCATTTACTACTAATGCGAGTCTGTGTTGTGTCTTTACAAACAATTGTTATTTGTGGGATTTATTTTTTTTCAGGAAACACAAGAGTAATCACACAAGGCGCTTTGCAAAACTTTCAGGAGGAACTCGGCAAAGTGTTGAAAGACCCGTACAAAGTTGTGATGCGACCAACACAACTTCCAGTTACTTTACTACAAGAAAGAGCAAAGGTTCATATGGCAGTATTTTTAAATATAAGAAAGGGATATAAATACAAGCATACATTCTTTTTAAAATTTAATTTTAACACAATCTCAGCCACGCCTTTTGTACAAGTTCTGCCCCATATGCCAGAACAAGTTTACATATAAATGAAAACATACATTTTAAAAATTGTACAGTATTTAGATATAAATCATCAAAATGATCTTTTTTTTTTAATAAATTGGCGGGATAATATTAGGGGGCAAGTAAACTTGTCACTAGCAATAGGACAAATTCTTCTATTGCCTGTGCCAAGTGCCAGTCTTCTGGTCCCCTTTTTGCACCAGTTGCGATAAGCTCAGAGGGCGCCCCCACACATGCTATCTTTTGTACTGACAGCAATGTTACGCAACAAACATATATACATTATTTTCCTGATGATGACATAATTAGTCTCAAAATATTGAATCCCAATACGACATGCATTTCAATACTTTTCTAGTATGTATTATACTTTTTTATTTGCACACTGTCGTCTAGGTGTATCTACAAGGTTTAACAGTGAAAAAAAAAACGTGTGTTACCCTGTGTTTGACGAGCAAGTATGCTCATGTTTGGTGTCCGCAGCCGACCCTGTGCGACAAGATACTTCTCGCTGGCAGCGAACCTGTTAAACAGTGTTTTAGTTGATCATTACTCTTTTTAACAAACTTTTAATGTGTGCAGTTCTTATGCTTTTCTTTTTTAATTTAGCAATCCAGAGTTCATTTGTTGGACACGCAAAGTTTTGAAAACACCTTTGGGCCCAAAAAACAGCGCAAGAGAGTCAACATGAAGTTCTCAGATATGTCTGTAAGTAACATGGTCTATGTAATGTTTTTTTTTTTTTTGAGTCACTACTTATGTTGTAGCCCACAGGAAGGTCAGCTTGATGGACCCTACTACATTTTATGCTTTGAATTGCCTCCCTTTTGATCTTAAATCATTTCTTTTTAAAATTAACACTTAAAAATAAATTTAAAAACATTTTGCAAAAGCCTTTGCTTAATACTTTTGAAATTTGTCTTTGCTTATTGGGATCTGCATTCTGCTTCACTTAGCAGTGTTTGTGTATTTCTATTTGACCTTTTCGTAAGTTATACATAAACAATTTATAAATACATGTAACCCATAATTGTTTTATTGGTTATGTTTTTAGGAAATGGTGACGAGTGTAAACAAGTCTGTCGAAGACTATAACCAGGAAAAAGATAAGGATCTGGAAAAGGAGGATGATGATGGTACTAAGGATGAAGTTCGTGATTGGGTGTTTGGAGCTGGGCAGTCCAAAAGAATTTGGAGCGAGCTTTATAAGGCAAGACAGAATTAGTCTATCTGATGCTTTCTATTAATGTTGTTTTTTTTTTTTTATTGAATGGTAGTTCTTTATCTTGAATGGTTTCTATGGCTTCAGATGTCTCTTGTATAAATGTTCCTTATATACAGTTAGTAGCTTGATTGTCATTTCTGATATACAGATAGAGAAGTTATCGAACTGAACTAGGGATTCAGCTCACAAAATTATTTATTACCATCATCGCTAGCAGCTCTTTAGTTTACAACTTGCATTGGTCCCTTTACCTTAACAATGACTGATAATGATTTTGTGTGCATGTTGTATTTATTCCAAGTATGTCTTTTTTTCAACTTAAAAAAAAAATTGCAACATGTGCAACAAATATTTAAGTGAATTACCTGTATCAACATATGTCCATTATATATTATACAGTATAAATTGCAGTGGAGTGGTTAAGATGCTTAGTGTTCAATCCTTGCTTTCCAATCTCAACATCTTGGGTTCAGTTCCTATCAGTGTTGCAGCTTTTTCCTCAGGACCACTCTGCAATAACTAAACTAAATGTCACAATGAGTTTTAGTTTGTGTAAAGCATCATGTAGGTTTGTTTTATGAAAGGAAATGTCACTTACTTTCAGGACAGCGATATTATTCCCTTTTGGCAGTCATTGGCGCATGTGGGTGTGTGTGTGCCTAAATAGATAATGAAAAAACAAATAATAAATGCAATTTACTTTTCTATTACCCTTTTAGGTGGTAGATTCCTCTGATGTTTTGATCCAGGTTCTCGATGCCAGGGATCCTATGGGCACACGATCTCCTCACATTGAAAATTATCTAAAGAAGGAAAAACCATTCAAACACCTCATCTTTATTTTGAACAAGGTGGACTTGGTACCAACATGGGTCACAGTAAGTTTACTTGAAAGACTGTCATTAGCCATTGGTACATTACTCCACTAAAATTCAACATTTATCCTTTCGTACAGCATTCTCCCCTGATATCTTAAACCGCAATTGTACTGGATAAAACTCGACTGACAGGTCAAGGAATCTTTTCTCTCATGAAAACCAAGTGTATTTTGCTCATTTAAACTGACCAGGTTAGTTTTACCTAGCTGAAAAGTCCAATGTGAGCACATGTCTCTGTGGAACTTACCAAACATTCCAGTGTTACTTATTGGATTATGTAAGATGTCAAAAATTAGCGCTCTCAATAGTAGATTTCACGGCTCGGTTAGTTTTTTAATGTTTTTGCAGTAAAGCCGGGCAGGCACTGCGTTGTACAACGACAGTCATGCGACGAATCCAACGCCACTTTCCGTGAGCGCTAGTCAATGCGGTGGCTGTTTGAACGCAGTGTTTACCCCAGGCCCTTAAAGAATCGTGCTACCATGATGCTTGGGACTTTCCCCATGATGCTTGACAGTTGGCCATGATGCTTGGAACATCTTCCATGATGCTTTTTTCAGGGAACTGTTAAATTATTTAACTGTTCCCTGCTTTTATACAGTCTTAAAGTGCAATTTAGGACATTTCAATGCCTCCTAATTACTAAAAATACCTTGTGTCAGTCCCAACTATGGTGGACTTAACACTTACCATGACGCTTGCCCATGATGCTAGGGAAAACGCTGCTGAACGTATCGTCATTAAAACTTTCTATTGCGCACATGTTGTTGCGTTGCATTCTCCATATAATTGCGTCAGCTGATGTGTGTGTACCATGCTTAATAATAAACTTGAAAAGTGTGGACCAATTAAAGACCACTTTCATCTTTGTACAATTTACCCATTGGGTCTCAATAAAATCTTCGCTTTTTAAAGTCCAGTGAGATTGCAGCATTAATAAAAATACAGTTGTATGCCACCTTTTTGAGAAATATTATTACGAAATATATGATAACATTTATGGCAACTGTATATGATTATATTTAAACCTTATTGATTGATGAATTAAACTATGTGATGGTGAGTTATCAACACTACCAAATCATTGATATACAATACTTCATTATTATTTTATCAAAAAAATATATTTTGTGTAGTAATTGGTATGTAATAATATTTCCCTTTTAATTCGTTTACAGAAACACTGGGTGGCTGTATTATCTAGTGAGTGTCCCACCTTAGCGTTCCATGCCAGTGTGAAGAATCCATTCGGAAAAGGCGCACTCATTCAACTTCTGCGGCAGTTTTCTAAGGTAAATTCCCCAGTTTTTTCTCTAATTAAAGACCCCTCCAATTAATGACCATCTCCGATTAAAGATCACTTTTCTGTGGTCGCTTATTAACAGATGTCTATTATCTATAATAATAATGGTAATGTTTCTTATATAACGCAAACATATATCTGACGACATCTCAATCCGCTTTACAAAATTTAAAATTTTTAATTTTAATAAAAAATACATTAAAAGTAAAAAGCATTCACTAATCAAACAACCATTCCAATTTAAAACACAATTTCACAATTTAAAATGTCATAAAAAGGATAAAAGTATGTTTGCTATTCTCTATGTTATTCTAATTAGAGGCCAAAGAGGAAAGTGGTCTTTAATTGGAGGGAAACCTGTATTATGTAAAATTTTGGCAAAGATAATGTATGATAGATAGAGTAATGATGTGGATAATGATTAGGATGATACTTATAGAATTATAAAGGACATTTTAATTTAACAATATTTATGATAATGATTGATATTGATAGCAATGATAATTTTTATTATTTTCACAATTCTGTTAAATTGTTTATCATAATGATAAATCAAATATTAAATACATATTTCTTCATACTTGTAGCTCCATATTGACAAGAAACAGATAAGCGTTGGGTTCATAGGTTATCCAAATGTTGGCAAGAGTTCGATCATCAACACACTTCGCTCCAAGAAAGTTTGCAAAGTCGCGCCTATAGCTGGTGAAACCAAGGTTTGGCAGTACATAACACTGATGCGCCGTATCTACCTCATTGATTGCCCCGGCACAGTACACCCGACTGGAGACACAGAAACGGAGATCATACTAAAGGGCGTAGTAAGTACTTCAATATTTATTACAATTTCACCACACAACTTTACCCTCAAGGCATCTTGTATTAGCTGGAGTCTTCACTGGAGCAATGCTAGGCAGGAGGTCTTAACGTTCCTCTATGAACAGTGTGTCTTTACTTTGTCAGCGACTACTCCCCAGACCAACAACAGAAGCAGACAGTAAAAACTTCCTTGCTGTAATGTTGACTGATATCCAGCAAATGATAGTCTGGATTTATATTTTCCAGAAATATCGAAGGATGGTAGATTGTTCTAACCAATCAGGGTACAGTGATTCTATTGGCACCCTCGCCCCCACCTACACAAAAACAAATAAATGTTACTCGCAGCATATATACACACTTGGTGTTATTTTTCTCAGGAATAATATTTTTTTATCTTTTTGATTTATGTAATTATATTATTTCAGGTCCGAGTTGAAAATGTTAAGTTCCCAGAAGAGCACATACCAGAGGTGTTGCGTAGGGTGAAAACCGAGTACATTACAAAAACGTACCGTATTACACAATGGACCGATCACATAGATTTTCTAGAGCAGCTAGCACGAAGATATGGAAAACTGTTGAAGGTAACTGGACACTTCAGTTAATATGATTGCCATACATATTATTATTATTTATTCAGTCCTTATACTCTGGTGTCTTGGGGATTGAATGCATGGATGACAGATGTTGATGTACAGTAATTTAAGTGCAGAGGTATGCATAGTACATTGGTTAAAACTACCGTAGTGGTAAATAAAAGATTCTCTTTGAACTTGAAGGGGTATGGTTTTACACAAACAAGGATTGTTACATTGGTGTGGTGTTGTCTTTGGACATTGTGCACACTCGAACAGTCACTCCATAGAGTGAACACTTCCACTCTGTGACTGAATACTAAACAGTACGCAGGCTGTCTGTGGTGGGCAATACCATTATCTTTTTTTATCCACAAGGGTTAAAAATATATTGAACTTGAACTATTAAGCTTTGAACTTTTCTTCGCTTTTCACTTTCTTAAATTATTAAGTATCATTTTATGATAATCCATTCTTTAGATTTTGCATAATCTTGCTAACAGCCAGACAGCAGTGAATACACAACCTCCTTTTTGGTAGTTAATAAAAGGATATATAAATGTCTATACTGTCAACTACAGTTTTGAAACAATATACTTCTACGGTTTGTAGGGTGGTGAACCGGATATTAGTACCGTTGCCAAGATGGTTCTCAACGACTGGCAGCGAGGCAAGATACCTTTCTATGTTAGACCGCCACCTAGCGATGGCAAGACAGTAAGTATAATTTTCCTTGTTGAATGTATAGAAAGTATTAGTATTGTATTCGTGAGATAGGTTTTGCATTTACAGGTCTCCATCCAATTCAAGACCACTTTTTGGACTGGGGCTTCCATGGTCTTTAGCAAATTCGGTCTCAAATTAGAATAATATAGTTAAGACATTTCTTAATTTGGGACCACAGAAAAATCTACTTTAATTACTGGGAGACCAGAGGTGGTCCCAATATTTAATCCACAGGGGCTGATGTCCCTTATAAGGGTTGGGGGGGGGGGGGGCAGCAAACACAAAACGTTCTTGTAACATTTGTGAATGGTGTGGTTAGGTATGTCACAAAATAACTTCGCAGCAATGTTCAAACTTTCTGCATTTTTGCATATCAGCATTATCGTTATCTTTGTTAATGTATTATCTTTATGCAGGAACCAACATCTAGCAGAGCAGAAAATGTTATAAAGAAAATGGATAAAGGCAAATCACCAAAATTTATAGAGTTTGTCAAAGGAAAAGAAACAACTGTAGAGACAAACGTTGAAAAGCAATCTACTGGTATTGAGGAAATAGAAAAGCGACCTAATAAAAAGAAATCCAAAGAAGTAGCAGGGGTTGTACAAGACTTATCACAAATTCAGGTCGGCCCTAAATTTAATGAGGACGATGCAACACCCGACATGGAAACCGATGATGTGGAAACAAACGATAACGATATGGAGCATAAATGTGAGAACAGTTCAAATACAGAAGAAATAAAGGTTTCAGACAGGACTAAAATAAAATCAACAGAGTTAAAAGGTAAAAAGAAAAAGGGAAGGAAAGTAAAGGCTGCTGTAGATATAAGCCTTTCAGAGTTCCAAGGCAGAGATACAAGGAAAAAAGAGGGAGGAGTGTTAGAAGGTGTAAGTGCATTCCTCAGTAACAAAAACCAAGAAGAGATGGAATTGCTGAAACAAGTAAAACAAGGGAGGAATGAAATTGAAGAAAGTCAAGGTGAGTAGTGTATGGTAAAGTTAAGTGGAGTTGAATAGCCTGGTGATTAAGATGCTTGTTTTCCAATCCCGGGGTCCTGGTTTTAATTCCTGTCACGGCAACAGGATTTTTTTCTCTTTCTTCTTTTTTTTTAATTCCCTAAGCCTCATATGAGACTTGGTTTATGTTTATGTTTGTCATGTGAAGGTATTTCCACCTATCTAATAGGACAGTGATAGTAAGTCACTATTGGTAATTCTTGACCATGTGCCTAAAGGAATAAAATAAAAATAATAAACTAAACATTTTTAATTTGCGTTGCATTTTTTTTTTATTATACCTTGTTTAGCGAACCCACCGAACACAAATAATGATGATTTCAAATTAAAAAAAACATATATTATTTATCCAATTAGTGCACACGCTGCCATGAAAAAATGAAAATTTCAGAAAAAATTTTTTTTGTTTTTGTTTGTTACGCCCTTCGCTGCCTTGAAATCGCCAAAGATAAAATATGTATATTTCCCTAATTTGAAGTCATTGGCGTTTAGAATGGTTGACATATAAATAGCCATTGAGAAAGATTTCTGTCACTCAAGGTTAGACCCTTAACAGGTACACTCCCCCGGGGAAGTGGATCCTGTAACTCATCGTTGGGCAAGGATCAGGCCAAGTTTTGGCTAGTGCAAGACAGTCCCTGTGTAGTTTAATTTAATGTTTAGTTTTTATTCACTCAATAATATATTGTCTTTGAGAATCCTGTATCTTCATAATTTTAATATGTATATATTCATCATTTAAGAACCTGTCCAAGAAATGAGGAATTCAAAGAAAAGGAAGCATAATAATGCTGATGATGATGATGATGATGATAACGAAAGCCATCTGACATCTAAGCAGGTAGGTTCTGAGTGTGTACGTTCATTTTTTCATTCTTTATTAATCCAGTTTAACTGAAAGGGCAGGATTTTTGGGGGTGTTTTTTTGTTATTTGTTACTTGGTACTTTACTATGGCGCTTATCCTTTGCGTTTTGAAGTGTTTTGTTTTCCCCTGGTCATTTGGTCCAAGTGCTTAAGTGTTGCTGCCATAGTGTCACAGTAGCAGGCAACCCCATCAGTTACCAGTTTTTTTTCTCCAGGGTGGAGAGAAGCAATGCAGATACAGTGCCTTTCTCAAAGACACAAGCGAAGTCTGCAGCAAAGGATTGAAACCGTGACCACGAGATTGGGAAACCAAACCAATTCCACTGTGCCAAACTGCTTCCACTGTCCACGCGTCAATATTTTATTGTTAGCCACCAATCTTCATGCAGATAATATATCAGGATCTTTCTTTTGCCTAGTGGTATAACATGAATTTCTTACTTTACTTTCAGAGGAGAAGTCTGGAACGACAAAAGAAAGAAAAAAAGACTGGAACACATTTCTACAAAGTGACGAATGTAAAAAATAAGAGCAAAAGAAATAAAAAGAATTGATAACATGATAAGAAAAGAACACAGCGGATGCTACATATATATTCACCATTGATTACTCAGGATTTAGTTTACATCCAGCCTACATATGTAAACATACAGATGCCATCATTTTTGCTTAGGATTTGCGATAGATTGAAAGCACTGTATTGCATCTAATTATATTTAATTTATCTAAGACAGAAATAAAAAACAATTTTAAGGGTTTCTCATAAAAAAAAAAAACATACCGTACTTCATTATTACACTTAACATCTCTTGGCCCAATAGAGTCCTCATGTGAATGGACCTTTCTTCTAAGCCCGCCCCTTAGATATTGTTACTAAGGTCCTATGAAGCTACCATGTTAAAACATACACGTAGGCCTACTTGTGTATTTGTGGGTTAACATGTGTGCTTGTAAGACATGAACATATTCCTGGCTCTGTTGTGGTTGTTCAGTTGTTAAGTTTGTTGACACTCTTGAAAGGTCTGCATGAAGTAGATATTGGTGTAAGGTATTGTTTGAAAGAGACAGTTATTGTGTATGATTGCCAAAGGTGGCGCCAGTATCTTCCAGACAAAAGGGCAGATTCCATAATAAGAATGTAAGTGGGCGTGGTCGGACGTCGTAGTGATCCAGTGTAGCCTCTGGATACTATGACGATTTAGTGGTTTAAAAGGCTTATTAAGCGATTCTAGAGTCTACTAATTATGTAAAAAAATATACAGTATATATTTTTCTCCCAGACGAAGGGTGTTTTTCTCCCCGACGAGGGGATCTCTCTTTGACGGAGGCCTAGGGTCCTCCACTCCATAGCGCTACCCTTGATGATTAAGACTCGCAATTGGATAGGAATCAAGTTTTTTAATTGAAAAGTACTAATTCATGACAATATACAGTATGTATATTTTCTTCTCTAATAATTGAAGATTATTAAACATTTTTTAATGTAATTAAAAGACATACAATACCTTGTTATTGTCATCGATATTTTACACTTCCCCTGCATACTAATTTTGTGCAAAAGTTAGACATGGACATGTCTCACAAGATTTATCATTCCCTCCCATATATAATACGTTGCTGCATTATCTTTTCTAAACCCTGTCCAGATTACCAAATTCTGTTGTATACCCATATATAGTCATGATGTACCTATATATGGTCATGATGTGAACTTATTTAGCCTTGTCATGTGTTTTTGTCAAATTAGATTTGATAGTCTGAACAGGGCTTTACACCTCATGTGCTTCCTCATTTTTGTCAGAACTCAGCCACTCATTCGTCGATTTAAGGGATCATCCGGGCCACCCCTTCCCCTACCCTTCCCTCATCTTTGTTATGAGCCCGAGAAACTGTCTATTCACCAATTTCGATCAGTGGTGGCAGAAGGATTTGTCCGACGTATGGTCTGATGTCTCCGACTGGTGGTAGGGGGGTTTGGGCTACATTGGCAATCGCACAAGATAATTCAAACGCCAAGTATGATCCGAGAGAGTCCCAGCTTGGTTGGGCCGGCTGTTTTTTAAGAAGTGCATCCGTAAGACAGTAAATAGTACTTACATTCTTAAGATAGTTCTTTTAATACTCGTGTAAATTTGAATGTTTTATAATTCCAATTTCTAAAATTCGTATTCATCGCTCAACAATCTGATATATTTGCCTACTAGAACTCTGCTTCTCAAACCTTTTTTTCCCACACTAGTTGTGACCCATTTAATAACTTGATAGTAATGGTAATGGCTGTATATTACTGTAATATAAACAGTGATTGAACAGTGAAATTGAACAGTGACTTATATAAGGTACCCTAATAAAACTTGATGCTCATGCTTAAAAAATTGTTATTAGGCCCAACATCGGGTTTTTTTTTTTTTTTTTTTTTGTTTTTTGTTTTTTTTGCCTCCGACTGGTGGTAGGGGGGTTTGGGCTACATTGGCAATCGCACAAGATAATTCAAACGCCAAGTATGATCCGAGAGAGTCCCAGCTTGGTTGGGCCGGCTGTTTTTTAAGAAGTGCATCCGTAAGACAGGAAATAGTACTTACATTCTTAAGATAGTTCTTTTAATACTCGTGTAAATTTGAATGTTTTATAATTCCAATTTCTAAAATTCGTATTCATCACTCAACAATCTGATATATTTGCCACACTAGTTGTGACCCATTTAATAATTTGATAGTAATAGTAATGGCTGTATATTACTGTAAATTGAACAGTGACTTATAAAAGGTACCCTAATAAAACTTGATGCTCATACTTAAAAAATTGTTATTAGGCCCTACATCGGATTTTTTTTTTTTTTTTTGTTAGGTTTTATTTTGATTTTTTTTGTGTTTTTTGGTTTTTTTCGCTGCTTATTATTCAGTGGCGGATCCAGTAATTCGTAATAGAGGGGATCAGGTAGAGACTTTTACAGTTAAAGACTATGGTCTACCCACCTCAGCCCTGCCATGGTAGAGGCTGAGGTAAGGAATTTTATGATTATGTCCAGAAGGCCGGAAATGGCACTGTCAGACCTAAAGTCGAAAATAATTTCCTTTTTTTTTCTCTATTATTTTATATATTTTGAAAAATGTGGCGGGGGTTCAGGTGGCAGACCGGCTGCACACACGCCCCCCCCCCCCCCAAAA